TGGACACAGGTTAAAGCTTGATGGCTACATGAAAGAGATTTTACAGGGAGAAGGCCTGTGTCAGCTTGGAGACTGAACTAGGAGACTCTGAAGGTCTCTTCCTACTCAATGACATCACGGTTCTCTAATGAGATGATCCTTCTTGTTCAGACATAGCTCATAACTCTTGTTGGAGGCTGATGTGTGCCATGGGCAGGACCAGTACCTGACTTGATAATCCTCCACTAGCTACAAACTTAAAAAGTCACAAGGTTAATACCAAATAATCACAGTTGTGCTAAATTGGGATTTAGTACAGTTATTGAATTCCCAGAAAGTATAAGGTGGCCTGTAAAATGAAGGAGGTCAGGCCCTGGTCCACATACCTCTCCTCTCCCTTTCTTGTGAGCAGCCCTTGAGGGCACCCAGCCCTTGAGCTGGTTGTTCTGCAGGACAGCAGCCCCTAGTCAGGGCTCTGATGCCCAGGTTTGGGAGACATATTTGAACTTCAAGCAACATTCTGCCACTCCCACCTCCTTTTCTTTAAGCTTTATTTATAACTAGACTACAAAGGTTTATTTCTTTTTAAAACTGAAGTGCTAATGTCAATAAACAAGTGGGGTAAGTGTCGAGGTGGGCATTCTGAAATGATATAGTATAACCAATTCAGCTATTCTCATGTTTGCAAAGAGAAACTGATCCCATAGCCTACAGCAGAGTGGGGTCCTACTGCCTCAGACAAAGGAAACCACTAACCAGGACCACAGAGGTAGCCTGATAATTAATTAATTAAGGAGGATATGGTGCTGGTCTTCCAAAAATCTGGAAGGAAGTCTATGCTGTTCTTGTGATGTTATGTTTCCTTTCTGTCTGATTGTCAGTGACATGAATCTCTACTCCATTCTACATGGAATATTTCTGATCTAATTCTAATAGCCCCTACATTTCAAAAGATGGATACAAACACCAGATGGATGTTACAAGAAAATTGGATTGTTCTGCAGTGAATGATATATGGAAAGGCCTTTTCCCAACCAAGCAGTAGGCAAAATTGTAACAGTAATATGTGTTGGAAATAAAATGGCTCAGGGATCAGAGGTGACACTGACTCTTGTAAAGTGTGAAATTGTTCCTTCTGTTGGGCAGAATGTGGATTAAACAAAGAAAGGAACATGAACAGTTTGATGTTTATTAATTATATTATCTGCCTCAATTCTCTATCTGTAATATAGCAATAAGATTCTGTTAAAGACTACATATTTAATATACTCTCATGCTTAGTTCAGATCAAATATGGTTTGTTCCTGTAGATAAATCATCCCCAACTCTAGACCTCTATAGAGTTGATTTTAAATAGGCAGCTACTCTTGGAATTTGCTGGATTTCCAAATGATGGATGAAAGAGTTCTGCATTCCTTACTCAACTCTATCCCCTCTTTGACATTTCAAGCCACACATTAGTGCAACCTAGATGCTGTCTTCAGCTCATTTTCCCATTTTCCTTGATCATTTCAGCACCGAACTCACAATTTTTTCCCCACATCACTTCTGCCAGCATCCTTGGTGTCCCAGTCAAGTTTATGACCTTTCTGAGACTTTACCATTGAACACATAACACTCTATGTTGAAGTTTCTGTAAATATATTTTTCTCCCCCTGCACACTGTAAGTATATTGAAATTGACATTTCCCATTCAAAGACCGTACTGATACACTGAAAAGAATATGAGCTTAATGAATATTTATCCTGACTCAATGTATGGAAAGATAGTTTTTATCAAGGTTGACTTTTCTGAACAGCCCCCACCACATTTAATCTTCCCCAAAAATCTAATACCTACCAAAGCTGCAACACTAGAAGACGTCTTTTAAAATGCAACCAGGCTGAGAAGGAAAAGTGCTTTTATTTTAGGAAAAATCAAGAGGAACTGGCAAGAAAGCTAATCTCAGTGAAAAATGTCTGCTTTTCCCTTTGCCTCACCTTTAGAGACCAGGTCACTATGGGAAGCCCACCTTTCTTGCCAATCTCTGAGCTTTCAAAGTCTCTCTTCCAGGAATGGATCGAATGCCTGGCAACTCATTCCCAGGCCAGAAGCAAGCGGAGGGAGAATTTTGCTGGTGATCTGAAGGGTGTGAAGAGGTTGTGGGAAAGGAAATCCGTGCCAAGGAAAAGAGGATATTCTTTGTCCAGCAATGGGGCTCACTATAACCTTGCAGCCGTGGACAGAGGAGAGTATTCTCTGTCTAAAATAGGGCTCACTATGGCCTTGTGCCCATGGATGGAGGTTAGGATAAGAGGCCTCATTTTCAGATCACCATCACCTGGTAGATTATGAATGTATTATCAGATAATTTCATTGGTGTTACAGTTGTCAGAATCAAAATAAAGTCACTTTTGCAAAGCCCCCCAAAAAGCAAAAAAACAAAGTAATAATAAATTCAACCAGAAGATTACAAAGAAAAGAATACCATGTATGTATGCCCAATAACAACAACTATTCACAAAAAAACTTCCAGAACCACAACCTAGCACAAAATATTTCTACAAAGACATCTGCCTAAAAACTTTCTGTTTGATCTAGGACTGATGTCAGGCTTATTACTGATGCCTGTAGGTAAGAATTATTATTTCAAAATATCTCATAATTCCTTTCATTTTACCTTTAAAATGTCCTCTAGCTTCAACTTCCTTAAATGTACATATAATTCATGACATAAGTATTCCCATTGCAATCCTCTGTTATTCCCAAGAAACTCTATGAATCTGTGGAGAATTTCCCTGTTTGGTATTTAGGCTGACTCAGGTCTTCTAAGAATTGACATAAATGTTTAGTCAGTGGACAGTTAAATCTTTCTGTCCCATGACAAGTGGTAAATGTTAGAGTTAGTCTTAGGAATGGCACAATCTCAATGTCTAGATGAAGTATAACTTTGGATGGGAAATAACTGGAAAAGAAAAAGGAGGTATTTCCTGAAGAGGGAACCCAAGTGGGACTCTGGCCAATTTGTTGAAAGCCAATTTACTAAAACTAACTTGGAAAGTCACAGATTTTTTTGATGCACTGGAGGGCTTTGTTTATAAGTTTTAGTTTAGTTCCTGTCCCTACCTCGAGCTCTCATTGGTCCTGTCTGTAAAACTGCCCATCGCCTCTCTAACAAAGTAGCTTGGGCAGACCTCTCTTGAGACAGGGGCAGGGGAAAGCACAGGGCAAATATGAAACTAAAGCCTTTCAACAATCTTACAGCTTAGGAAATTAAGCATTTGGCAAGTTGTTTTTCAGTAAATTGGTGGTTTAGTAAATTGACTTGGGTATTGGGCAAATTGTTTTTCAGTAAATCGATGGTTCAGTATATTGACTTGCCTCCCCAGAGCACAGTTATCTCCTAATTATCTCTTTTTTATCACAAGTTCCTATCACTTCCACACTCCGTACAAAGAAAGAGAGATGACATCTGCAAAGACAATCAGAAATGCACACCATGAGATGAAGTGTGCACAACTGTGGTGCAGCTTACTTTCTGGGTTTGAGTCATGAGGTGAAGAAAGACTTCCCTCTCCTCCCCTATGCTACCAACATCCCCAGAGTCCTTGCATTTAGACTGCACACAGAAGCATTTTTAGTCGTCATAGCTGAGTGATCAAATTTAAGAATAATTCCAACCTGAATCCCCATGAACAGCCTCTCTCTGATTTTCACGGCTGTGATAACAAAATCCCATAGATTGGGTGGCTTATAAACAACAGAAATTTATTTCACACAGATCTGGAGGCTTGGGAGTCCAAGATGAAGGCACTCACAGATTCAGGGTCTGATGAGGGCCCACTTTCCAGATCACAGACAATGCCTTCTCACTGTGTCTACACATGGCGAAAGGCAAGAGAACTTTCTGGGGTCCTCATCCAATTTATGGCGGGGCGGGGAGGTCCACTCTAATCATCTAACCACCTCCCAGAAGCTCCACTTCTGGATGCCATCACATTCAAGATTAGGTTTCAACATATAAAAGCACCATTAGTCTCCGCAAGTAACATTTCCTCCCCAAATCTCAAATATCTGAAACGCTACAGTCTACCATTTCCCTTCTTCCTTTGGCTACTATTCACTCTTATTTTTTATTGCTTACATCAGAATCTAAGCCCTTTGGAAAGATCCTTAATGTGGAAAATTCAAGAGAAAAAGACACAGGAATACAGATTAGAATAACAATGAACAACTCTGTATTCTGTAAAATTGGCAAAGAATACAAAAAGGAACTCTACTGTCATTGGCTGTTAAGTGTCAGTGAAAATACAAATTGGCACAGTGCTTTTGGAAGAGCATCTAAGTAAACATACACTAAGTATCTTAAAATAGCTATTGGTCTTCAATTTCTAGGGATTTTTCCTAAGGAAATTTAAATGTATGCAAAAGTTATTAGCCTGGTGATGTTTATACTAGTAAAAGAGCAAAAACAATAGACCTAGCTTTAATGTCCATCCTTACTGGATTAACAAAATAGATTACGCTATAACCATGTAAATATTAAAAATTACCAAGATATTTTAAGTGAAGAAAACAATGTTTTTAACAGTACATACAATATTGTTACACTTTCAAGCACAGCATATGTCATGTCAAAAAATAATGATCAATGAATGTACTAAATTAAATGACAACAATTATCTTTAGGTTAAGGTATCATAAATGCATTTTATGCTTCTTTCAGATCTATATTTTTCAAATCTACAATTAAAAACATGTCCTCAATGAAGCAAGCCTGGTTTTGACCTTTAAAACTATTTCTTTGAAAAATAGTTTCAGTATTTTCCTCATAATATGAGGAAGGGGCTAAAACAAGAGTTCTATTTCCCTACCACAAATTTCATAATAAGATTTCATAATAGCTGTAATCTCCTTTTTTAAAACTCCTCCTCTAAAATACAGTATTCAAAAACATCACCAATATATGAACAAATTGTTAGCACAACAAAGCCTTAAACACTAAAAGAGCAGCGAGACTTAGCTGATTTAAGAAAATTACAATATTCAAGCTCCTGCTCCTCAAAACAGGAACTCACTGTCGCTGGTAGGTGCAACCTTTGGGAAGGAGGGGATTGATGTCCTCTCCGCTCTCTCCTTCCTTCCTTCACTTTTGAAACAAGCTGCATTTATCCCAGCGGGGAGGCCTGGTGTAACAGCCTGGTGCAGCCTGTGTTCTCCCTGCTGTCCATGGGAGGATAAAAAAATTGCAGGAAAAGATGCTGGCCCAGCCCTAGCACCCTAGAGACATCAAGGAACACCTCAGGAGAGGGAGACTGCAATGATTATTATTATTTAGTCGTTAAAAAAAAATCAGGGCAGTGCCTTTTAGAAAACAAACAGGAGCGCGAACTGGCGTCACACAGTTCACAAGCAGCTGACAGTTGCGTGCAGCAGCTAGTCAACCAGAAAAACAACTAAGCGGTTTCAGGGTTTCAGGGGCAGCCGGAAGAGTCTTCAGAGCCCGTCCTCTCCTCCAGGGAGTTGGGCCACTTGGGCCCAACTGTGCTGCCTTTCCAGACCGGCCTAGAGCTGCGTTCTCATCGTTGCGTAATCGCGGGCTGCGCCTCTGGGCCAGTGCGCTGGGCTCCGGCGCCCTCTGCTGGGCACGCCGGAGACTGAAGCTTTGGCTGACATCTTGACCCAAGTTTTTCGGCCTTAAACAACTTTCTCACTGTGTCACCACACTAGAAGGAATTTTCAGCAGAAAAAAAAAAGAAAAGTAAAAATCCATAACGTGCCGCACAGAGCTCCAACTGGATCATCATCTAGCGTTTAGTTTCTGAGCTCGCACTGTCTAGTCCTCTCCTGACGCCTGCGGGGCGGAGCAGCCAGGCCTCCGGCAGAGCAGAATGAAGGCCACGCAGGATGCAGGGGTCGAAGGGCCCGGAGCTCATCCTCCCCTTGCTTTAAGCCTTGCATCACATCTTAGAAGGAGAAAGACCCTCAGACTACAAGAATGACCTAAACTTCTTTTTTTCCTTCCTTTAATTCTTTAATAGTCCCCCAAAATGCCTGTCACTTCTATAGAATGACAGTGACCTCCCCTGAAATGTAAACAGTTGCCCTTCACTGTGCCATAAACATTTCCGAGGTATTTAAACCTGCCTCTGAATCTTCACTTTCAAAGCTTCAGGACCTCGTTGGGGGAGGTAGTTCCTCCCGCCAGGGTCCTGCTTGGGAAGCTGGGTCCCTTGGGGGTAAGATGTGAGATGTAGGTCGTTGGGGTACAGCCTTCAGAAGCAAGTAATGTAGTTTTCTTGGGACCCTAGTCGGTTCTATGGAAGGAGTTGTTATAAATGTACAAAATTAGCCCCTTCCCATGCTGTCTTCCTGTATCTCTGTATGATCTCTTGCTACCATTTTATTTCACATGTGCTCCCACCATGGTGCCATCTGCCATGTAGTAACCCAGCCAAAAGAGCCCTCACCAGAGAGCAAATCAAAGGGGCTACCCAACCTGGACCTAAAACTGTGAGCTACATAAATCTCCCTGCTTTATACATTACCCAGTGTTGGATATTTTGTTATAGCAACAGACCATGGACAAAACTCACCTCTGACTCTCGCTAGAGAAGGTGGTATTATTATTCAGAAAAAGAAAAGTAGAAAACAGTTAGTGATACTGACATCTCTTGGCTCAGTTTGAGTCAGATCTGACACATCTCTCACCTGAGCTGTGGCTTAATCTGTGGTCAGGTTGAGGTGACAACACCGAGCAGAGATGGAGCAGCTGGCAGTGGTGTGCAGGCCAAGGACCCAGGCCTGCTGTGACACGTTCTCCGAGTACTTAGGGCATCTTTGCCTTTTAGTTCTAGTCGGTTATTTTTGTCCTGATCTTCGCATGGTTCTCAATTTCCTTGTTCAGACTAAATAATATTCTACTGCATATACAGACCACATTTCCACTCATCTATTTCTTTTATAAGGGCACTAATTCCATAACAAGGGCTCCACCCTCATGACCCAATAAGCTTCTCAAGGTCCAACCTCCTAATACCAACACACAATATCAACATGCTGAGAACTTATACTTCAATATACAAACTCTGGGGGGACACAAACATTCAGTCCATGGCAGACCCAAAGAGAAGAAAGGAGCTCTGAGTCTGGGGCCTGAGCTGGGAGTCACATCCCACTAGCAGATCAGAGACCTGCAGGTCAAGGATCTCCAAAGGCTTTCAACAAACATCTCATAGAGAGCTTCAGAGTCTAGTGAGGCCAGAGGACACCAGAACTAGATGACAGCTGTTCAGTCACTGACCCTTTGCCTTTTCCTCATATCCGTGTATCCCCTGGCCCCATCCCAGAGGAAGTTAAAAAAAGAACATCTGGCAAGTGAAGAGGCAGAGACAGGAAACAGGGAGAAAGCCAAGCGTGTTTCTAGAAATAAAATAGAAAGAAATGATGTATAAAACTAACAAGATTAGTTCGTAAAACACCTTGCAGTTTTTTGCTTGTTTTCATTTTCCACCCTGGATCACTTATTCTTGGGGAAACCAGCCACCATATGTGAGGACACTCACACAGCTCTCTGGAGATGCTCATGTGGTGAGAACCTAAGGGCCCTTGTCAATAGCCTCTCAATAAGTCACCTTGAAAATGAGTCCTTTAGCCCCAGTCAAGCTTTCAGATGACTGCCACCCAGCCAATACCTTGACTGCAACCTCAGGAAACTCCAAGATGGAACTACCCAGCTAAGTGGCTCCCAAATTTCTGATCCACAGAAATGGGAACTACAGGAGAAGTCATAGGTAAGGTCTTGTCTCACCATCTTGGTCCATGAAACAAGAACTTCCCCTTTTGAGAAGTACCAAGAAGTGGAGCTTGTGCCTGACAGGAGCTATCAGTGCCCCACTGATATCCCCCACGACACTTACCATTCCTTTCAGTACTGATGCTTCTTTACTCAAGCAACTGTGAGTCCCATCTAGTGGCTTCCTCTGGCCATGGGAACCTGCTCTCCTGAATGGAGAATACTGGAAATCATGGGGAACTATGGCTTCCAGGAGCAGCTCCCTCTGATGATGGGAAGAGTTGGTAGATAATACTTCTTCCACTGATGGGAACGATAAGTGGATAAGTATGTTAGCCACCTCTTCCATTTGGTGGGACAACTTGAAAATGTGCTCTACACAGCAAGTCTGGAGTCCCTAGAAGGACCAAGCCCTACCTGCACACAATAGTAACTTGCTCAGTGATGCCCTATCTTGGCTCCTTTTCTTTCTGTCTGTCATTTCCCCACTATCCTGTAAGTGTTTCCCCGGGTCATCTCCATATAAATTGTTCTTAAATTCTGGGAGAAGATGGCCTGGGCTGACTGGCGAGTTTAAAAGAAGGTGTGTGCACTGGGAGGGCACCACTCAGCAAAAGCTGGGTCTTTCTTCAAAGATAAGTATTTGGTTCAGGGTGAGATAGATTCACCCTGCCTCCCAGTTGCTCACATTTTCTGCTCATCCAGTGGCATCGCTACCAAGGTACACCCTGCCTTTGCAAGGGGAAGGCCTGAGATCTGTGGTTAGCAAACTCAGTACCCAGGAACATTTCGGGTAACATGATTGTGGATATAGATCAATCCACGCTTTCCAGTTCCGTCCTATCTCTAATAAACTGCTGTCGTGAGCTCCATTTGTCTGATTCCTGTCTCTTTTCTCAAATTATATTATTACTCACCAAGAACAAACAAAATGCTTTTTTAAATCTATGCCCTAAAACTTAAAAAATATGCACAATATAGGGGAGGAGGGAAAATATCTAAATTTATGAGCATTTTCAAATAACCTATAAAATTAATTATAGAACATCCTGCCAATTAACAATTTGGGGTTATAAAAAAGAAAACTCAGTAATCCATACTGAAGGAATATGTGAAATGTCTATCTCAGCTTACCAAGCTCTACAAAAAGACCAAAAGGGGCGAAAAATAGGGCTAGATACAAGGTTGTAAATCACACACATTTCGATCTAGCTCTTCCAGGAGAACACTGGGATTTATAGCTTCACGAAATTCTCTTTGCTTAGTGTAAATCTGATTTTGGCACAGAGACGGACTTAGTCACAAGCTCTTGAGTGTTTCCTAGGCAAGATGGTGCTTAGCAGTCACTGTGTAGCTGCCTTAAACTGAATTCCACCCCACCCTCACACATCTGCATTTCCATTCCCGCCCACAAACAAATAATTTAAAATTATGCATAAATAAATGAAAGATTTTTTTTAATAAAAGGAATGTAGTCCACTCAAAATATAAATTTTTGCAAAAGAAAAAAATGGAACAGAAACAGAGTAGAAACTAGAGCTAAATCTGGCTTCTAAGAACAGAAGCAAGCTTCTGATTTCTGCAGAGTGGTAGAGACCAAACACCCCCTACAGAATGCAGAGAACTTGAGCCAGAGTTTTTGGGACAAAACTGAGAGCTAGAGAGAACTGACCTTCCCATAGGGACTCTGAAAAACGAGCCTGGTCCCTGTCAAGGGCAGTGACCTGGATGGGATGAGTGGAGGCAGAACACGGAAGCGCAACCACCTGCCACCTCTGTACATTGATCTTGAATGTCCTTGGTGTAATTGTTGGACAGGAATGCTAAACTATCAGCTTCAGACCTGGGGCCAGCTGGAAGGAAACTGTAAAACTGTCAGATGGGGGATGATGAAGGCAAAGAGGCAAAAAGCATTTACATTTAAGTTAAGCCTGCAAACTACAACTCTATCTTATGCAGTGAAAAAATAGTGATGTGAAAGATATGCAACAAAGTCAACACTGGCATGCAACAATTTGTTTTCAATAAAATACAAATAATAGAACACTGTGGATAGAATTAAAATATGATTTTGTTTAATGTCCATGAATTGTTGGAAGAATTTTGAATGTATCATATAATTTCACCAAACAATAGCAATATGAAATAGGTATAGTGAGTTGCACAACTAGGCTATAATTTTTATTTTATAAATGAGGAAAACAACACACAGAGAAACTTAACAAACTAACTCTAGGACACCCAGCTTGTGCCTGTGGATACAGAATTAGATATCAACAAGAACAAAAAATAACAAATAAAAACAATAAAACAGGAAATTAGAAGAAAGAGAACAAGAAATTTTGATTTTAAAAGACAATAGGGCAGGGAGTATAACTCAGGAGTAGGCATGTGCTTAGTATGCATGAGAACACGTTCACACAAAAATGACAATAATAATAGATGGCTAAAAAATACCCAATTGTAAATCTTGGAAATAAAACAAGATGATCAAAGAAATGTGCCAAATAGAAGACAAACTAGGCACAGATAAATGATGAATTGGTAGAGTAGCAGTGAGTAATTTACCCAGAAATTGGCATGTTAAATATTTGACATATTTATAAAAGAAATCAAATATGTGGAGCAGATGTTAATAGTAATGGTGAATAAAAAGAGGGACTTGAACATGAAATTTCAATATTAGACATAAAAGAAAGCCTGAGAACACTACTGAAGAGTTATGAGGTAAAAAATTTACAGCATCAAACAGAGATATAATTTCTTAGATTGAAA